TCTAAAAGACAGGGACTCTTTCTCTTTTCTATTTTTCCTTTTTTCCCCACCCTGTCTTATGTGCTGAGACCCTTTCTTTTACTAGAGGTGTAACATATAATACAGTGAAACACATGAGGTACACTGATCTTACAGATACAGCTCAGAGAGTCTTCACTTTTATGTATTCTTGCAATCCCTCAATTGTTCCAGAACGTCTCTTCTCTTCTCCTCTCCTGCCTCCCCTATCCTCTCCTCTCCTCTTGTCTCCTCTTTTCTATACGGAGTCTCGCTCTGTCACCCAGGCTGGAGCGCAGTGGCACGATCTTGGTTCACTGCAACCTCTACCTCCTGGGTTCAAACAATTCTCTGCCTCAGCCTCCTGAGTAGCTGGGATTACAGGCGCCTGCCACCACACCTGGCTATTTTTGTATTTTTAGTAGAGATGGGGGTCTCACCACGCTGGCCAGGCTGGTCTTGAACTCCTGATCTTGTGATCCACCCGCCTTGGCCTCCCAAAGTGCTGGGATTACAGGCGTGAGCCACCACACCCGGCCCCAGAATGTTCCTTGAACTACAAAAGGTTGCTACATGCCCTTCCCAGTCAAAGCTTCCTGCTTCAGAGGTAACCACTATGTCAGACCCCTTTTAACCCCAGCTGGCTGGACTGTATCCTTCTTTCTGCTGCCAGCCCTAAGCTGGCGCTTCAGCCCTCATGGACTCTCTACACCCTAAGGAATGAGCCCTGAGATCTGGGTTTTGATCCTGGCCCCATCACGTTATCTCTGTGGCCTCTTTATTGTTCAGTTGGCTGCTGGTTTGCCTGCAGATCTGTGGGACAGAGGTGGGGTGGGAGGAGAGAAGCAGCCGGGCTATTTCTCCCCTCTCTGCTATCTGGCTTCACCTGCAGTTGGGTGTCTTCCTTCCTTCCCCGTTCCATAATCCCATCTCCTACCAGAAGTCCACACTATTTAGTTCCTGCCAAATGGCTCCGGAGGCTTCTTGGTCTTTGATGCTACATCACCCTGCTATCTTTCCAGGCCTAGAGATGGTAGCTGTTTCCTGCTCTGCTGTTTTCTGAGCTACCTCCCATTGGCTTCTCAACTCCTCCATCACCCATGGACCAGTTAGTTCTCTGTGTTAAATTCCTTTGTTTGAAAGACTTTGAAAGAGTGTTTCTTGTTTCCCAGCTGGATCATGAAAGACAAATCTTACCAATAAACGGCTACCATAATGCCCGGCCATCCCCAGAAGGATAAAGGGAGACTCACAGGGGTGAGAAATTCACAAGTTCACAACAGGCAGGGCACTGTCTTTGCTTCTTTCCTTTTGTGTTCTTCACCAGTCTCCCTGAGACTGATTTCCACTGAGCAACATCAGACCCAGACCGAGCGCCCCAGGACTCCTAAAAGGTGTGTGAGGGTGGGACTCTTCTACCAGGACTTCTTCCGAGGGAGCTGCTGAGAGCGCCTTCTTTTCACAGGCCCATGAGGCATCCAGAAAGGGGGTTGTTGGGAATGGATTCTTCTTCTTTTTTTTTCTTTTTGAGACAGAGTCTCAGTCTGTCACCCAGGCTGGAGTGCAATGGTGCAGTCTCAGCTCACTGCAACCTCTACCTCCCAGGTTCAAGTGATTTTCCTGGCCTCAGCCTCCCAAGTTGAGTAGCTGGGACTACAGGCATGCGCTAACAGGCCCAGCTAGTTTTTGTATTTTTAGTAGAGATGGTGTTTTGCCATGTTGGCCAGGCTGTTTTTGAATTCCTGGCCTCATGTCATTCACACACCTTAACCTCCCAAAGTGCTTGGATTACAGGCATGAGCCACTGCACCCGGCCAGAAGAAAAATACTATTTCTTCTCTCTTCTTCTCCACTCTGCTCTTAGCAGACTTGTGCTCTTGGAAAGGGTCTGGCAAACACCCAGAAGTGCATAACGGATGAGGGTTGTCTTTTTCCAGAGTATTTGCATTTTCAGTGGTGACAATGCCTTAACGGAGTCTTTTCAACGGGGGTGACTTTGCCCCCCAGAAGTCATTTGGCAATATTTGGAGATGTTTTGGTCACAATGACTCAGGAGGTGCTACTAGCATCTAATAGATGGAAGCCAGGGATGCTGCTGAACGTCCTACAATGCACAGGATTGTAGATGGGACAGAATCATCCTGTCCCACCACCAAGAAAGATACAGCTGAAAATGTCAATAGTGCCAAGGTTGATAAACCCTGTCTTAACTCAAAGCGATCAACTTCTAGGAGTGAACTTCTAAGTAAACTGCCAGGGGACTAGATGAAGAGTGGCATTTTTCTGGTCCATCGTTTTAAATGAAAGAGAAATCTGTACCACATAAGGGCAGCTGAAAAGACTGTTGTCTTCCACAGTGGGCAGCCCCCAGTGTGAAGTGGCTAATTAGCTCCAAGTAGTAAGAATAAAGACTTGCATTTAACTACGTAACTGATTCTCATCCTGGAAAGGATAGAAGTGAACAGGGAAAAGTGAAGAAAATTTAGATAAATTAATAGACCACAAATAAATGGGTTGTCAGAGGAAGTTAGGATGTTTGAAGTTTTGCAGATGCTTTTTCATAGCATATCCTGTTCTGTCAAAGATAAAGTAGCAAAGATGCTAGTTCTGCTGTCTTCCACAGAGTGCGTCAGCAAACAGTGACCACTAGACACTGAAGTCACCAAGATGAATACACCTGGTCTCTGTCCCTGCATATGTACAAACACACATACATCAGGGTAATAATAATAAATAATAGTAAACAGTGGTAAGTGCAGAGATGGGCTCTCCCTAGGAGGCTGGAGTGATTACTTCCGTCATCTCCTGTCCGCGGAGAACAAGAGGCAGGAAGACCCTGTGCACTCATAACCCTCATCCCACAGCAGCCCCTCTGGTTTCACTTCTCTCCCTGCAGCCGTGCATATTTTATGGCCACACCACAGGGTTAGAGGATAGCTGGTGTTGGGAGGGGAAGGCAGCCCTGGGTTGGCGGGAAGGGCTGGGGCTCTGGGGCAGTCTGGGGGTAGTCCTGGGAAGGCAGGAGGTCCTTCCAAGGCAGAGTCTACAAAGCTCTTGACTTCTTATAGAATAAAACTACTTCTCTCAAAGTCAGAGAAGGAGAACTGAGCTTGGAAAGGAGTGGCGCAGTTTTCAGTCTGGCCCCACCCCTAACTCCTGGGTGACTGTGGCCAAGTCACTTTGCTTCTGTGGGCCTCAGTCCCCTCATGCGTGAAGCAGGGGGCCAGATGCAAGGTCAGCTGGAAAAAGTCTTTGTGCCCATCTGGGTTGCCTTACCCACCCCTTCTTGCCCTTTCATTTTCTCAGGTAAGATCACCGGGGCCCACAGAGCTCGAGTGCCTTTCTCAAAGTCACATAGTTTAAAAGCAAAAATAAGGGCTGACCATGGTGGCTCCCATGGTTGTAATCCCAGCACTTTGGGAGGCTGAGGCAGGAGACTGCTTGAGCCTAGGAGTTGGAGGCTGCAGTGAGCTATGATCATGCTGCTGTACTCCAGCCTAGAGGACAGTGCATGATCTTGTCTCTAAATAAATAAGAAAATTAAAGCAAAAATGGAAGTTGTAGAAACATACCTGTAACATGGTCCCACTTCTAAAAAAGAACTATATGTTTTGTTTTTTAAAAATACATGTAAGTTTATTATAACAGCACACAAAAAGATACAGAGAGATATACAAATTATGGTGGCTCCCCTTGGGGGAGGGAAAGGAAGGGGACAAAGGGAAGCTTTTATTGTTCTACATACTTCCGTATTGCTGAAAAATTGTATTATGACAAAAATATATTTGTGTTTTATTTGTACACTTTAAAAAGATCATCTTTAAAATGGACTTCTGACCAAAGCACAGGTCTCAGATTTCTATTTTCCTCACAACACCAAGCCTGCTCTAGCCCACTCCAGGTCTAGAATGCTGCAGCACTGGGCTTACATTGCCACTCCCATACCCGGCAGGACGTGGCAGGGTCACCACCCTCTGGCTCAGCCCAGACCAGGCATTGCAATTCTTCTCACAGAGCCCTTGATATGAAAACTATTTGCCATGCTGCCTTAAGCTAGTGGTTGGATTTCAGGCATGAGCTAGCAAATAGAAAAGGCAGGGAGGTGCTTTTCAGAACCTTTGAGATCAAACAGCCAGGGTGCTGAGCACCTTGTCTGCAGGGAGGACCATGCCCAATGTAAGGACCTGGCTCAAGGGAAACTGGAGTTTCTAGGGGTATCTGGGATCTGTGGGGCGGTGGGGACAGTGCAGAGACCTTTTCACAGAGCCAAGGAGATAACCCTGCACCCAGAGAGTGGATGAATCCATGGGCTCTGTGTGGGAGTGAGGGAGGCCTTCCCGGCTTTCCCATCCTTGTGCAGCGGAGCCCCGATCCCCCATGAGTCTGTCTCAGGAAGTAAATGGCTAAAGCGCTAAGTAGATAACTCCAAAGGAGGAGGATTCTGAATTCTGTTTATAGCTCTGCTCATATTTTGTTTTCTAACCTCAGAAAACTGGTTTATCCTTGGGAAGGGTCAGTTTCTTCATCAGGACAATGAAGAAAAATCCAGCTGTCCCTTCCAAGGGGAGGTATCATAAGCAGTATCAAGGTAAACAAGGGAACCTGGTTTGGAATCCTGGTTGACACCGCTCTCACTTTAAGAAGTCGCAAGAGACAGTGGCAAGAGAGGAAGCCACAGACCAGGTTGGACCCTGAGCCTGGAGTACCGCCTTTTCTCTTTGCCTGCTAAACTCCTTGCTCTTCAAGATTCAGCAGAGAGGACACCTTCTCTGGGAAGGCTTCCTGAGTCTCCTGCAGTGAGCCCTAGGCTCCCCCAGCCCTTGGCTCTTATCTCTTATCTCTGAGAAATCTGAGATCTGCGCTTTGGTTAGAAGTCTGTTTTAAAGACGATCTTTTAAAGTGTACAAATAGAAACCTTATCTTACTGTATTGCAGCTACCTATTTGCAGGCCTATCTCCTCCCCCAGTGTGTATCAGTGCTCAGGCTGGGCCTTTGTCTGTGGGCTTGCGGAGGGAGGCAGGACAAGCCAGCGACCACATTCCTGCACTCTGGGCTGCCTCCTGTGGGGCCCGAGAGGGAGCGGCAGGCCTCCCTGTTGCGTGCAGGGCCCGGGCTGTGTGGGTGGCTCTCCAGAGTCTCCTAGAGCCCTTTTTGGGTCTGATTCTCTGACCCTCCCCTCTCTCCTTGCTCACCACTTGGCACTCCACTCCTTATCCTTTTGCTGCATTAAGTTTGGAAAGAGATTTTGGAGAAAAATATAGCCCCTATTAGTGAATTTCTCCTCCTCCCAGGGCCTGTCCAGGCTTGCGCCATGCCCACTCTCTTCCTTTCCAGCGCTGGCCACATTCTCCCTGCACCTTTAGTGCCTACTTTCCCTGCCTCTCCCTGGGCTCCGGGTCTGTGCCCACAGTGTCCTGCCTGGCCCTCGTGCTGCCTCTGGTTGCCCACATTCCTGCAACTCTGTGACCACAACAGGGGCGATTACACATTCCTGGCCTGGCAGCCAATGGTGTAAAAAAGAACAGAATGTCCTAAGGCCCCGCCTAGCCCCCAGCTTCACCTGGGCCCCTCCCGGGTCTGGACAAGGTTGGAGGGAGTGGTGAGGACTCAGCAGGAAAGAGGAGGGACCAGGAGGAGGCAGATGCGCCCCACCTGAGTGCGCCGCGTCCACTTAGTGAGTGAGGAGGAGGTTTGCAGAGACCTCTTCTCTCTTCTCTCCAGGACCTGGGGGTGAGGCTGAGCCGTGGGTACCCTTAGAGGGTTGCCCACTTGCTGAGACTCCAGTTCCTGGAAGCACACTTGGGACTCCCCCCTTGCTCTCCTGCCTGGAGAGAGACTCCCTTTGGTGCTGGCTCCTCCTATTGGCCCCCGCCTCCGCCCCCCACCCGCCTCTACTCACTCAGTGCCCCTCCTCCATCCCCATCTCTCCGTCCTTTGCTGTCCCTCTCTATTGTCTCCCTTTTTCTGTCCTCTTGTCCTCCGGTTTCCCCACCCAGGCCCTCTCAGCCTGGCTGGCCCCTTCTCCTTGTGTTGCCCGCCTGGCTGTGGGCTCAGGATCCTTCTACTTGTTCGGATCTTTGCCCCTAACCTGCCATCCTGTCCCCCAGCCCCCTTGCCTGTCAGGTCTGCATCTAAAGCCCCTGCCCAGAGTCTGCCTTCTCAGGTCCAGTACTCCCAGTTCACCTGCCCTCGGGAGCCCTCCTTCCTTCGGAAAACTTCCAGCTCTGACTCCTCCTCAGCCCTTCCCCCTGCCCTGCTCACTTTTAATTGAGATGTTAATGAGACTCCTGTCGCTTCCATCCCTGGCCGGCCGGTGGGCGGGCTCCCCAGCCCAGCCGCTGCACCTGTCAGGTGAGGGGGAGGAGAGGCTTGGCTGCCAGATTCAACTGGAAAGGAACCAGTCCCAGTCCAGTCGCAACCTGGGAGTGGGAAGCTGGAGGCAGCCCAGACCTCCTGGAGCCCGGCAGTCCTGGGGCAGCGACAGAATCAGGACGCAGCTCGAGGTCAGGGCCAGAGGCTGGAGGTGAGGGCCTAGAGTGAGAAGGGACAAGGCAAGTGGGGAAGAGGAAGAGAGGCAGGATTAGAGAGAGGAGCCAGGTCAGGAAGAGGAGAGCTGGGACAGACCCAAAGAGAAACAGGGCAGATAGAGAGGGAGTGAGAGGCAGGAGCTGAGACACAGATCCCAGAGGAAGAAGATCAAAGGAAGAGGGCAGAGACAGAAAAGGAGGTGCTGGGACAGAAACCAAAAGGTGGCCCTCTCAGGGAAGCAGAAGAGAGGCTGTTCCAGGGAAGCCCAGCTCCGGCACTTTTGGCCCCAACTCCCGCAGGTCTGCTGGCTCCAGGAAAGGTGGAGGAGGGAGGGAGGAGTGGGAGAATGTGGGCGCAGGGTGGGACGTGGGCATGGCCAGGGGCAACCTCACTTGGGTTCCAGGGGTGATGGGAGAGGGCACTCAGGGCCCAGAGCTCAGCCTTGACCCTGACCCTTGCTCTCCCCAATCCACCCCGGGGCTCATGAAGGGAACAAGCTGGAGGAGCAGGACCCTAGACCTCTGCAGCCCACACCAGGGCTCATGGAGGGGAACAAGCTGGAGGAGCAGGACCCTAGACCTCCACAGCCCACCCCAGGGCTCATGAAGGGGGACAAGCGTGAGGAGAAGGGGCTGGGCCCAGAACCTGCGGCACCCCAGCAGCCCACGGCGGAGGAGGAGGCCCTGATCGAGTTCCACCGCTCCTACCGAGAGCTCTTCGAGTTCTTCTGCAACAACACCACCATCCACGGCGCCATCCGCCTGGTGTGCTCCCAGCACAACCGCATGAAGACGGCCTTCTGGGCAGTGCTCTGGCTCTGCACCTTTGGCATGATGTACTGGCAGTTCGGCCTGCTTTTCGGAGAGTACTTCAGCTACCCCGTCAGCCTCAACATCAACCTCAACTCGGACAAGCTTGTCTTCCCCGCAGTGACCATCTGCACCCTCAACCCCTACAGGTCAGTTAGTTCTTCTGCCCATTCCCTGGTGCCTGCGCCTGGAAGGGTGGTCCGGGGTGCTGAGGTGCTCACTGGGCAGGCACAGCCTCAGACCTGAGGGTGGGAGCTGATACCCCTGTCCCAGGTAGAGCTCACCACTGGCAAAACGAGGAGCCTCCAGCTTGCTGGACTGCCGTCCCTGCCCAGTGGAGCCATCCTAGCACCCCAGGCTCACCCAGAGCGTGGTTGTTGGAGCAGCATTGCCCTCCCCTGCCCTCCTCCTTTCCTCCCGTTCCCTTCTCCCTCCTGCAAGTGGGAAGGAGTGCTTGCAAAAGGGCAGGGGTGTGCTCAGCTCCATCCTTTTCTGGAGCAAGATGCCAGCAAAGTATACGGCCTCATCGCCCTCACAGGAGAGTCTGATGGAGAGGTGAGGCTAGGTGAGGGGAGGCGAGGCCTTGCAGGTGCTGCGGAGGTGGGTGCTGTCAGTCTTTGTTTAGAAGGGGAATTTGTTATGGAGAAAGCAAAGTGGGGGTTCGTGGAGGTTAGGGCTGCAAGTGAGCCCAAAGGCTGGGGGCAGGGGCCTTACAGAACAAGGAGAATGGGTCAGGCTAGAGAGCAGCCCCTTGTGAAGCTGTTCCCCCAAAAGACCCAGGCTGAAATGCCACACTGTTGACCTGCCCAGGTGCCTGACCTTTACGTGCTTGGGTGTGTCCTGAAGTTTTGGGTTTCGTCAGTGCTGTTTTGCCAATGTTGGGTCTGGAAACCGGAGCGGGTGGTGAGCGTGGAGAAGAAAGGAGGGCAGGGCTGAGTGTTTTTATATACCTTTTATTTGCATTCACTCAGCCATGCCACACCTTGGGGACACCCGCGTTAAGCCAGACACAGGGCTAGGCACCAGGCAAAATGGATTCATGAATAATTTGTACACCCTTTATTGAAGGGCAGGTAGTTTGCTGTGTTCTGGAGACAGACAAAAGAAGATGGCAGAGACAGGCATATAAGCCAGTAACTGTGGCACGCTGGGATAAGTATGATAAAAATGGTGAGTTAGTGTGCCTTCAAGGAGTGTCAGATCTTTATGGGTGTGAGTGTGAGTGTGTGTGTGTGCACACTGGTATGTGTGCGATTATGGATGCTTGGGATTTGTCATGCTGTGGGTGGAGGCCCCTTCGCATATTCTATCATGTCCAAAGGTGTGTTATGGACTAAGAAAGGTTGGGACGTCCTGTCCAGGAGAGAGAGAGAAAAGAAAAGCCGGGCCATGATGTTAATTAACCTCTGTATAATGTCCTGGGTAGGGACCATTTCCTTAAGAAGCTGCTGTGTGCTCAGACACTGCTAAGGTGTCCACGGGCATCTCATTTCATTCTCACGTCTTACCAGGCCAGTGCTATTGTCATCCCTATTTTACACTTGAGGAAACTAAGGCAAAGAGAGGCAAGTCACAACATCACAGAGAGAGTGACTGAGCTGTGACTCATCCTGTTTATGCCTAATCCCAAAACTCTGCCTCTTTTTAATACCCAAGATGTGGGGCGTTGAGTGAATGAAATTTCCAGGCAGACGTGGTTTCCATCTCATTTCAGAGCTCTCTTGGGTACTTCCCCTCAACCTCGTTTTTCTCCCCCTGGTGCCTGCAGACATCTTCACCCCTTAAAGCCTTGGTGGAGGGGAGGGATGCAGCAGGAAGGGGAAGCACAGCAGGCGGGGCAGTGGGCACTCAATAAATATTTGTGGTTGAAAATATGTCAGTGAGAGATGGAGAGGGAGGGCAGGGGTGAATGGAGCGAGGCCTGCACAGTTCTTAGGTTCTGCTGCACAGTTCTTAGGTTCTGCTGTCCTTGGACAGTCCAGGAAAAAGCCCTGCCTCTGGGGACTGCAGGCTGGGAAGCAGCCATCCGCCCAGAAAGAATCCCTCCTGGTTGAAGGGCTACGGCGGGAGTTAGGAGGGAGAGAACACCTAGGAGGGGAGGGAAGTCGGGGAAGGCTCCCCAGCACAGGAGAAGGAGATTCAACACCCACCAAACACTACTCGCTTGACCTTGTAGTCACATTATGTGCTACACCCTAAAGCTGGGTGCTTTATAGACACTCTCTCATTTAATACTGACAAGTCCAGGGAGGTGGGCAATATTATTCCCATTTTTTTTTTAGATGGGGAAATTAAGGCTTGGCAAGAGGAAATAGTTTGAACAAGGGAACATACTTTATTTATTTATTTATTTATTAAATTAAAAAATAACTGCCAGGCGCAGTGGCTCACGCCTGTAATCCCGGCTAAGGCAGGTATTGAGGGGTCTGGGATGGAGCCCAAACAAGGTTGTTTAAAAGAGCCCCTCACTTGAGGCCAGGAGTTCAAGACCAGTCTGGCCATCATGGTGAAATCCCCATCTCTACTAAAAATACAAAAATCAGCCAGGCGTGGTTACGCATGCCTGTAGTCCCAGCTACTTGGGAGGCTGAGGCAGGAGAATCACCTCAGGAGGCCGAGGTTGCAGTGAGCCGAGATCATGCCACTGCATTCCAGCTTGGGCCACAGAGTAAGACACTGTCTCAAAGAAAAAAAAAAAAACCAGCAATAACGCTTGTATATATTTATGTGCCAGACATTTTTACAAATGAATCTAAATCAGATGATTCTGCTTTAAATTATTTAATTCTCACAACACAACTTGGAAGTAGGTATCATGATTACTCTAATTTTATGGATGAGGAAACTGAGGCCCAGAGAGTTAAGTAACTGGCTCAGCTTCAGACAGACAGCAAGCCGTGAAACTGGGACTCAGAAATCATCCCCCGCCCCCCCCCTCCCCCCCCCCCTCGCCCCCCTACCCGCCCTCCTCCCCGCCAGGCTCCAAAGAAAAGCCAGGGCATCTCAGGTTAGCAGCTGAGTCACAAACCAAGTGTGTTTGATTTCAAAGCTCTTTTTTCCATTACACTTTAAGTAGGGATCGGGCAGAGACCTCCCAGGGTCGGGGGCAGTTGGTGCGAGCCCAGCGGGCAGAGCAGCAGTCACAGGAAGACAATTTGTCAGGCGTGCAGGAGGGAGGGATCCAGGGCCACTCCTACTCAGGAGAGAGGCAGGAAGGTAAACAGGTTAACCAACCCCAGTGAGTGAATCACAGGGAGCGCGGTGAGTGATTCCTATCGAGGAAATCAGTTGATGAGCTAGAGGAACTGGAGTGAGGCAGAGCTGCCCAGGGCTGCCCACCTGCCGAGGGTCATCACCAGCAGAGGGAGAGGAGGAAAGTGGACACGCAGGACTCTGTGCTGCTTTCTAACTTCAGGGAAAGTGGACAAAGCACTGAAGACTTTTCAGACTAAGCAAGGAGGTGCTGAGTCCAAAGGGAAGGGTTGCCCACTGCAGCGCCTTTCTCTCTGGTCAACAAAGGGCTTCTTCACCGAAAGGAGTGGGCTAGTCATACCTACAGTCATGGGAAACAGAACCCACAGACGTATTTTTCATCCAGTCCCAGGAACGGCTTAGACTGGACCTAAGAACTTGGGGTTCTTGAACAATGAAGGTCATGATAGCTTCTTTCCTGGAAATGGCACAGCAGGAGGCCAGGAGTGGGTGAAGCAAGGGGCAGTTTCCCAGAGAGAGCCCCTGTGGGGAGGGTGGGGAAGGCCTGAGGTAGGGAGTCCGTCCCTGCCTGTAGTTCCCTGATGTGGTGGGCAGGCTCTGCACTCCCCGGGCAGTCTGGACACCAGGCTTTACTCAGCAGGGCTGGCAGGAAAAAAAGCCTGGACTCTTAAGAGTTGACTCCCCTCTAACCCTGCCACGGTGGTTGGATCCTTCTCATGTCAGGAACCTTGCTACCTTTGTGGCAGATGCTATTAAAAAGTTCTTCCTGGCCAGGCGTGATGGCTCAAGTCTGTAATCCCAGCACTTTGGGAGGCCGAGACGGATCACGAGGTCAGGAGATCGAGACCATCCTGGCTAACACGGTGAAACCCTGTCTCTACTAAAAAATACAAAAAACTAGTTGGGCGAGGTGGCGGGCGCCTGTAGTCCCAGCTACTCTGGAGGCTGAGGCAGGAGAATGGCGTAAACCCGGGAGGCGGAGCTTGCAGTGAGCTGAGATCTGGCCACTGCACTCCAGCCTGGGCGACAGAGCGAGACTCCGTCTCAAAAAAAAAAAAAGTTCTTCCTGGCCGGGCACTGTGGCTCACACCTGTAATCCCAGCCCTTTGGGAGGCCAAGGCGGGCAGATCCCTTGAGCTCAGTAGTTCGAGAGCAGCCTGGGCAACATAGTGAAACCCTATCTGTACAAAAATACAAAAATAAATAAAAATAAATTAGCTGGACATGGTGGCGTGCGCCTGTGGGGAGGGATGAGAATCACTTGAACCCAGGAGGTGGAGGTTGCAGTGAGCTGAGATAGCACCACTACACTTCAGCCTAGGTGACAGAGTAAGACTCTGTCTCAAATACATGAATAAATAAATAAATAAAATAAAATAAAATAAAAATAAATAAAATAAAATAAATTAGGAGAGTTCTTCCTTAGGCAGAGCTACAGCTTGGCTTGTGATAACTTCAGCCCTCTGGTCCTGGTTCTGTGTCCTTGAAGCAACCCTAAAGGCGTCCCCTCCTTCCTCTGGCTATCAGTTCAGGTGCAGCTATAATAGCAGTAATTGCACTGCAGTTTGCAAAGCCCACTGTCATATTTTGATCCTCATAACACGCTTGTTTAGGCAAGTTTCAGTCCCACAGTCAGAAAAGAAGATGGAGGCTCCGAGAGCCTAATAGGCTTTGCAGAGGTCACCCAGCTGGTAAGTGGAGGAGTCAGAATCGGAATCTGGGTCTTTAGCTCCACTGTTGTTAAGACACAAGGTCACATGGTAGTTATGTGGCAGGCAGTGCTCTTGTGTCTTGTGTCTCCTTAGCTTTTTCTTCTCCAATAACAGTAATAACAACAGTAATGATAATCAAAAGAATACCAGCAGTTATACAGTACCTACTCTGCAAGGTACTTTTTTAGTACCTTTTCATATATTAAGTAATTTAATCTTCATAA